ATGCAACAGCATGGATGGACCTGGAGAGCATTATGCTAAGTGAAATAAGCCTGTCAGAGCAAAATACATACCATATGATTTCAGTTATATGTGAAATATAATGAATAAAATAACAATCAAAATAGAAACAGAAGCATAGATAGAAAACAAACTGATAGATAACAGAGGAGAGGATAGTAGTGAGACCAGGTGAAAAGGTGAAGGGATTAAGCAAAAATAAAAATATAAAAAGACCCAGACCCAGACAATAGCATGGTGATTACCAGAGGGGAAGGAGTGTGGAGGAAAGTAATGGAGGATATAGGGAGAATAAATGGTGACAGGAGGAGACTTGACTTTAGGTGGTGTACACAGAATTGTACACCTGAAACCTATGTAATTTTATTAATCAATATCACACCAATAAATTCAATAAAAATTTAAAAGTAAAATGAAATAGAAAAATAGTAGTATAAGGATGTTATTTACCAACAAAAAATTATGCCAATAGAAACACCTAATACAGCTCAAATTGCTTGGCTTTGTTGCAAACATGTAGGCTATAGTGTTGGATTTCCTAGGTTTGATTCCTGCATCTACTCCTTACTAGTGGGGTGACATTAGGCAAGTCACACAACCTCCCTGAGGCTCATTCTTTCATTTGTAAGATGACGATAATAACAGTGTCTATCTCATAATGTATTTTGAGGATTGAGTTAATGTTTATAAAGGCTTATAATAATGTCCAGCAACAAGTAAATTTTCAATAGTATTATTGCTGAGGAGCAGAAATTTGGGTGAGAAGGAGACAGGTATTTCTTGCAATATGACTGTTAGTAACATTGGACATTTTAACTACACATTAAAGTATTAACTGCACATTAAAGTACTGCCTTAATATAAGCAAGTTTTAAATGTTTAAGAATAAATCAGAAGTGAGGAAGTAGAAAGTCTTTCAATAAATTTACTCTGAAGGGAAGGAAAGGAATTGAGCAATAGCTACATAAATTGGAAAGTAGAGGAAAACTGGGTATTTTTTATTCTTCTTATTATTATTGATAAGAGAGACATGAATGAGTTTAAAAGCAGATGTGAAGCTAACTAGAGTGGGAGAAGAAATGAAATGGGGGATGAAAAAAAGAAGGCATGTAACCAAAGCACAAATAAAGGAAAATCTCTTCTATGATAATCAGAATGAAGGTGAATTGATGGATGTGGTTGTAGATATGTCCAGCAGTTTAGTATGAGAAGTTGAAGACTTTATCATTTCATACCTACCAATATGTATGCAAAATAGGAGGTAGAGTCATTTGCTAAACCTGAGCTGGAAGTTGGTAGGGCTGAAATTTTAAGATCAGTTTGGAAAATTTGAAATAGACATTATAGAAACAAAAGAAAGATAGAAAGATGAAAAATCCCACTTGATATAGCAACAAAAAAACCAAAATACCTAGGAATAAACCTAACCAAGGAGATAAAAGACCTGTACTCAGAAAACTACACAACATTGATGAAAGAAATTAAAGAAGACACAAATGGAAGCATATACCATGTTTACAAATTGGAAGAATTAACATCATCAAAATGTCCATACTACCGAAAGCAATTTATAGATTCAATGCAATACCTATTAAAGTACCAATGACATATTTCACAGATATAGAACAAGCACTTCAAAAATTTATATGGAACCATAACCAACCCTATTTGGTTGGTGCAGCAATTTTGAGAAAGAAGAACAAGGTAGGAGGGATCACAATACCTAATATCAAACTGTATTATAAGGCCACTGTAATCAAAACAGCCTGGTACTGGCATAAGAATAAGCACATAGACCAATGAAACAGAAAAGAGAACCCAGAAATAAACCCATGTTTTTATGGTCAGTTAATATTTGACAAAGTGGGAAGAGGCATAAAATGCAGTACAAATAGCATCTTCAACAAATGGTGTTAGGAGATCTGGACAGCTCCATGCAAAAAAAAAAAAAAAAAAAAAAGAAACTTGATCACCAATTACACCATACACAAAAATAAATTCAAGGTGGATAAAAGACTTAAATATAAGTCATGACACCATTAAAGTCCTTCAGGAGAACATAGCAAAATCTCAGATATTCCACACAGCAATATTTTCACTGATACATCCTTTAGAGCAAGGGACACAAAGAAACAATAAACAAATGGGATCTCATCAAAATTAAAAGCTTCTGTAGAGCTACAGAAAACAGCATCAAAATGAAAAGAGAGCCAACTATATGAAAAAACATATTTGCCAATGATACCTCACACAAAGTTTTGATCTCCAGAATATTTAAAGAACTCACATGACTGAACTCTAGAAAAACAAAAAGAAAAAAACAATTAAAAATTAGCAAAAAAATTTGAACAGACACTTCTCCAAGGAGAACATACAAAGGTTCCAAAGACATATGAAAAGATGCTCAGCATTGCTAGCCATCAGAGAGATGCAAATTAAAACCACAATGAGATACCACCCCACACCAATGAGAATGGCCATCATAAACAAATCAACAAGTAACAAGTGTTGGAGAGGATGTGGATAAAAGGGAACCCCAGTGCTTTGTTGGTGGGACTACAGACTGGTGGATCCACTGTGGAAAACAGTATGAAATTTCCTCAGAAAACTAAAAATGGAACTGCCTTTGGACCCAGCAATTCCACTGCTGGGATTATATCCTAAGAACCCTGATACACCAATCCAAAAGAACCTATGCACCACAATGTTCATAGCAGCACAATTTACAATAGCCAAGTGCTGGAAGCAACCTAAGTGCCCATCAGTAAATGAGTGGATCAAAAAACCATGGTACATTTATGTGATGGAATACTACACAGCAGAAAGAGAGAGGGAGCTCCTGCTCTTTGAGACAGCATGGATGGAAGTGGAGAGCATTATGCTAAGTGAAATAAGCTAGGCAGTGAAAGACAAATACCATATGATCTCACCTTTAAGTGGAACCTGATCAATAAAACAAACAAGCAAGCAAAATATAACCAGAGACATTGAAATTAAGAACAAAATAACAGTAACTAGAGGGTAGGGGAGATGGAAATACTGTGGGAAAGAAGGGAAATGGTTGTAAATGAACATGTATAAAGGACCCATGGACAAAACCAAAGGGGGGTAGAATTAAGGGTGGGAGGTGGGGGTGGGTAGGGTGAGAGAAAAGGTGGGTGGGAAAATGGAGAAAACTGTATTCAAACATTAATGAAAAAAGAGGGAACTTCATGAGTTAAAGTAAGACCATAGATAACCCAAAGTAAATGAGACACATGTTAAAAATTTAATTTATATATTGTAAAACATATGAGAGCAGCCATTTGATTTGTAATAAAGGCAATGCCTTTTGTTTCTTTTTGTTTTCCTTAAGAACACTTGTTCCCATTACCAGGTTAATATTGCTATAGTCAGAAATCACTGTGTGATATCAGGGGTGATGGGAAACTGAGTGTGAGTCCAACTTCTGCCATCTATTCACTTCTGTCATATTCAAAAAGACATCGCTGTCCATTTTAGCTTATTTTCACCCCTATGAAATTTATCGAGAGAATAAAGTAACAAAAGTAAAAGCTTTTAAGGTATTGAAATGTTACATGTGTTATTCAGAATATTGTCCTTTTTCTAAAACTGACATTGTCTTAACTTTCAAGCTTTTGTCTGAGTTTATCTTTTCCCAACATCAATTTTAGATATTTTCAGTGCATACAGAATTCCACTTTGATAGGTCTTTGTTAGTTTCAGTGCCTTAAATAAGTCTTTCTGCTTCCATTGTTTCTTTTCAGCACCATAATCAAACTTCTCATTCCAGTGGTTCCAATGCAAATAGAGGTGCTCACAGTGACACTGCACAGGGCCTGCTGCCTTTTAGGTTCTGTCCAAACAGAGACATCTCCCTGCTCATTACTTCCCCCAATCTGCTATAGTCTATTTACCCAGATAAACCTCTTAAAGCATAGATAAATAAATAAATAATAAACAAACAAACAAACAAACAAATAAATAAATAAAATCCTTGGTTGTCGAACTTCCATACACTTCAATGTTCTGGCAGTTCTGATTGTTTTTAGTTTTGAAGTCAGTTGTAATCCTTCTTATGGTACCTATGCCTCTATCTTGACCAGAAGAGGTTATACGATTTTTTTCCAACAGGATTCTGCTACTCAAATATAGGCATGAAACAGATGGGAATAGCTGGGCTGGGCTATTATTAAGCTGGTAGGATAAAAAAGACAGTGGGGTGAGGGAACTGGGAATATGGAAGAGAGTAGATGAAATGAGAAATCACAGACCCTAAATAGGCCAAAGAAAGAAGTGAAGAAAGTCATGAAAACAGTCAGTAGCTGGTAGGTAAGAGTCAGAATTTAGAGGTCCCAATGAATCTGAAGAATAGATGTACTGAAAGAAAATCAAACAGCTTAAGTACAGAGGTTGTAGTTTGAAAGTGGAATGTTTTAATTTATGATTTATGTGTAATTATGGATGACAGTGAGGTTTAGCATATGGACCACAGAAGTGGGTGAATGAAGTGGAGCAGAAGTGAGGGTCACTGGAGGAGGACATGGCAAGTAGCAAGGAGACTAGATAGCTAAATTATTAGATGAGTAAGCCATGTGGAAACAGGTAACATCGCCAAGAATGAGGACAGAAGCAGCAGAAAAGAATACTGTGAACCTCGAGCCAAAGTCTTCAGTGAATGACAGATATAAAGAGGTCAAATCTAGCCTAATGAGCCCTTATAGCCCCTTGAGGCCTTAGTGAATATACTGAACAATGTTTCACTTTAGACCTCAGAATCTTTGCAAATGAAGAATAGGCTGCAAAGACAGAGAAGGGTTCCAGAAATCCACAGGGTGATCAGTCACTGAGGCTTAGTAATAAACTAGCTGGTAAACTCTTGAGGTGGCAGCTGCTAAATACATGACTGAACAGAATTAAGTGATTTTAAGTTGGTCCCTTTTCATAAGCGCAGGCATGTCAAAAGAATATAAGAAGCTTACCTCTCAGCAATATTTTTTGCAGACTGGAGAAACCGTGCTTGGTCATTTTCTTTCAAGATATGCTCAGCTTGGTTGATAAGGACTGTTGATCGTTCAAGACACTGGCGGCAATTAGCAACCTGCTGTGCCAACTTTCTCAGTTTCATAACCTTAAAGGAATTAACAACAGAAAAATAAGACAAAACATCCAGTGCTTAATTAAAAATGAAAAAAAAAACAACATGAAAGAGATCTGCTTCAGTGATTCTAAAATTAAGGCCTATTAATATTAATATCCAGCCACTCACTGTACCAACCACTCACCTTCTCACCCTATTCTCTATGTCTGCCATACCAAACCCTCCTCCTACCTACAGTCCACTTATCCTGGACCAGGGTCATATGCTCTAGCTTGTCTACTTTCTCTTTTTATTGATAACATTAATTTTCTGGTCAAAAAAGCAATGCTTGCTCATATAGAAAATGCAGAAAATAAAAAGTATAAAAAGAAACACTACCACCAAGGGATCACCATTATTTACTTTTCATTGTCAACATATTTTCACATACATGTTTCATAAAAAGCATCTCCTTTTTTTACTGTTGTTCAAGTAAAGCTGTCTCCATTTTGACCCCACCATGACCCCCACCCTACCCAATCCCACCTCCCATCCTTCAACCTGCCCCCTTTGGCTTTGCCCATGTGTCCTTTACACACGTTCCTTGATGGCCCTTCTATTACCTTCTATTATCCCTCTCCCCACTCCTCTCCTGTTACTGTCAGTTTGTTCTTAAATTCAGTGTCTCTGGTTATATTTTGGTTGCTTGTTTGTTTTGTTGATTAGGTTCCACTTACAGATAAGATCATATAGTATTTCTTTTTCACCACCTTGCTTATTTTACTTAGTATAATGCTTTCCGGTTCCATCCCTGTTATTACAAAGGGTAGTAGCCCTTCCTTCCTTCCTTCCTTCCTTCCTTCCTTCCTTCCTTCCTTCCTTCCTTCCTTCCTTCCTTCCTTCCTTCCTTCCTTCCTTCCTTCCTCTCTCTCTCTTTCTTTTCTGCAGTCCAATATTCTAGTGATCCACTCATATACTGATGGGCAATTAGGTTGCTTCTAGCACTTGGCTAACTGTAAATGTGCTACTATGAACATTGGGGTGCATAGGTTCTTTTGAATTGGTGTTTCAGGGTTCTTAGGGTATATTCCTATATGTGGTATTGCTGGGTGAAAAGGCAGTTCCATTTTTAGTTTTCTGAAAAAATTTCATACAGATTTCCACACTGGCTGCACCAGTCTGTATTCCCACCAAGAGTGCACTAGGGTTCACTATTATCCACATGGTCTCCAACACTTGTTTGTTGATTTGTTTATGATGGCCATTGTCACTGGCATGAAGTGGTATCTCACTGCAGTTTTAATTAGCATTTCTCTGACAACTTGTGATGCTGAGCATTCTTTCATATGTCTCTGGGCCCTTTGTATGTCCTCCTTGGAGAAGTGTCTGTTCAGTTCCCGTACCCATTTTTTAATTGGATCATTTCTCTTCCTGAAGTGGAGGCATGTGAGTTCTTTTTTTAAAATTTTATTTAACTATTTTTCAAGTACAGTTTTCTGTTTATTTCTCCCATCTCATCCCATCCCGCTCAGTGCTCCCCACCTCCCTCTCATTTCCATCCCCCCTTAGTTATTGTCCCTGTGTCCTTTATACTTGTTCCTCTAAATCCCTCCTCTTTCTCCCCTTAAATTCCCTCCCCTCTCCCCGCTGTACCCCTGTTTTCTATTTCAGTGTCTTTGTTTTTATATATTTTGAAGTTCAAACTCTTGTCCGAGGTATCATTGGAAATATGTTTTCCCATATGGTTGGTTCTCTTTTCATTTTAATGCTGTTTTCTTTAGCCATGCAGAAACTTTTTATTTTTATAAGATCCCATTTGTTTATTCTTTCCTTTATGTCCCTTGCTGTAGAGGACCTATTGGTGAAAATATTGCTGTATGAGAATCTGAGATTTTCCTGCCTATGTTCTTTTCTAGGACTTCTTTGGTTTCATGAATTATACTTAAGTCTTTTATCAACCCTGAATTTATTTTTGTGTAAGTTGGTTATACAGTTTCTTTTTCTTTTCTTTTTTCTTTCTTTCTCTTTTTTTTTCCCATGTAGCTGTCCAGATCTCCCAACACCATTTGTTAAAAACTCTATTTTTACTCCATTTTATGCTGCTGCCTCCTTGGTCAAATATTGATTGACCAGAGAGACTTGGGTTTATTTCTGGGCTCTCTGTTCTGTTCCACTGATCTATGTGTCTGCTTTTATGCCAGTAGCATATCGTTTTAATTACAGTGTACTTGTAATCTATTTTGCTATCAAGTATTTTGATCCCTCCTACTTTGTTCTTCTTTCTCAAAATTGCTGTGGCTCTTCAGGGTCATTCATGGTTCCATATAAATTTTTGAAATATTTGTTTTATATCTGTTAGATATGTCACTGCTATTTCAGTAGGGATTGCACTGAATCTATAAATTGCTTTGGGTAGTATGGACATTTTGATGATATTAATTCTTCCAGTTCATGAACATGGTATATGTTTCCATTTGTGTCTTCCTAAATTTCTTTCTTCAGTATTGTGTAGTTTTTTTCATTTTTTAAAATTTATTTAATTATTGTTCAAGTACAGTGTTCTGTTTTTTACTCCCATCCCAGCCTACCACCCAAGTACTCCCCATCTACCTTCCATTTCCACCCCCCTTAGTTGTTGTCCATGTATCCTTTATGCTAATTCCTGTAAATCCTTCCCCTTTTTCCCCTGAAATTACCTCCCCTCTCCCCTCTGGTCACTGCCCCCTTGTTCTCTATTTCAGTGTCTTTGTTTTATTTTGCTTGTTTGTTTCTTTCATTGTTTAGCTTCCTGTTAAAGGTGAGATCATATGGTATTTGTCTTTCAACACCTGGCCTATTTCACTCAGCATAATACTTTCCAGTTCCATCCATGTTGTTGCAAAGGGTAGGAGCTCCTTCTATCTTTCTGCTGCACAGAATTCCACTGTGTATATGCACCATAGTTTTTTGATCCATTAATTTACTGACGGGCACCTAGGTTGCTTCCAACTCTTGGCTATTGTAAATTGTGCTGCTATGAACATTGTGGTGCATAGGTTCTTTGATATTGATGTTTTAGGATTCTTAGGATATAATCCCAGCAGTGGAATTGCTGGGTCAAAAGGCAGGTGGATTTTTATTTTTCTGAGAAAATTCCATACTGTTTTCCATAATGGTTGTACCAGTCTGCAATCCCACCAACAGTGAACTAAGGACCCCTTTTCCCCACACCCTTTCCAACATTTGTTGTTTGTTGCTTTGTTTATGATAGCCATCCTGACTGGTGTAAAGTGGTATCTCATTGTGGTTTTAATTTGCATCTCTCTGATAGCTAACGATATTGAGCATCTCTTCATGTGACTCTGGACCTTCTGTATGTCCTCCTTGGAGAAGTGTTTGTTCAAGTCCTTTTCCAATTTTTTAATTGGGTTGGGTGTCTTCTTAGAGTGGAGTCGTATAAGTTCTTTGTATATTTTGGAGATTAAACCTTTGTCTGAGGTATCATTGGCAAATATGTTTTCCCATACAGTTGGTTGTCTTGCTAATTTAATACTGTTTTCTTTAGCCATGCAGAAGCTTTTTATTTTGATGAGATCCCATTTGTTTATTCTTTCCTTTATATTCCTTGCTCTAGGGGACATATCAGTAAAAAAGTCGCTGCGTGAAACATCTGAGATTTTCTTGCCGATGTTCTCCTCTAGGACTTTAATGGTGTCATGGCTTACATTTAAGTCTTTTATTCACCTTGAATTTATTTTGGTGTATGGTGTAAGTTGGTGCTCAAGTTTCATTTTTTTGCATGTAGCTGTCCAGTTCTCCCAACACCATTTGTTGAAGAGGCTATCTTTACTCCATTTTATCTTACTGCCCCCTTTGTAGAACATTAATTGACTGTAGAGAGTTGGGTTGATTTCTGGGCTCTCTGTTCTGTTCCATTGGTCTATGTCCCTGTTTTTATGCCAGTACCAGGCTGTTTTCATTATAGTGGCCTTGTAATACAGTTTGATATCAGGTATTGTGATCCCTCCTACCTTGTTCTTCTTTCTCAAAATTGCAGCTGCTATTCAGGGTCGTTTATGGTTCCATATAAATTTTGGAACTGTTTGTTCTATATCTGTGAAGTATGTCATTGGTACTTTAATAGGTATTACATTGAATTTGTATATTGCTTTGGGTAGTATGGACATTTTGATGATGTTAATTCTTCCAATCCATGAACATGGTATGTGTTTCCATTTGTTTGTGTCTTCCTTGATTTGTTTCTTCAGTGTTGTGTAGTTTTCTGAGTACAGGTCTTTTATGTCCTTCGTTAGGTTTATTCCTAGATATTTTATCTTTCTTTTTGCTATACCGAATGGGATTTTTTCCTTGATTTCTGTTTCTGCTATTTCATTGTTGGTATACAAAAATGCCTTTGATTTCTGTATATTCACTTTGTATCCTGCTGTTTTGCCAAATTCATTAATTAGTTCGAGCAGTTTTTTGGTAGAGTCTATAGGATTTTCCATGTACACTATCATGTCATCTGCAAACAGTGACAGTTTTGTTTCCTCCTTTCCAATTTGGATGCCTTTTATTTCCTTTTTGTGCCTGATTGCTGTGGCCAAAACTTCCAAAATTATATTGAATAGAAGTGGTGAAAGTGGACATCCTTGTCTTGTTCTGGATCTTAGTGGAAAAGCTTTTAGTTTTTTCCCATTGAGTATGATATTGGCTGTAGGTCTCTCATATATGGCCTTTATTATATTGAGGAATGCTCTCTGTATTCCCACTTTGCTGAGTGTTTTTATCGTAAATGGGTGTTGCACCTTATCAAAAGCTTTTTCCACATCTATTAATATGATCTTGTGGTTTTTGTCTTTGCTTTTGTTTATATGATGTATTACATTTACTGATTTGGGAATATTGAGCCATCCTTGCATCCCTGGGATGAATCCCACTTGGTCATGGTGAATGATCTTTTTAATGTATTGTTGGATGTGGTTTGCCAATATTTTGTTGAGGATTTTAGCATCTATGTTCATCAGTGATATAGGCCTGAACTACTCTTTCTTTGTTGTGTCTTTATCTGA